TGGGTGTGCGGGACGCGTGCGGGCACACCCACTGAGACCTTCGGTGGAGCTCCCTATGGGGCCACGAAACGTGTGAGGGGTGTGCCGAAATGGGTAGGCGGGACGCATGCGGGCATGTGAGGGGTGTGCCGAAATGTGTGTGCGGGACACATGCGGGCACACCCACTGGGACCTTCGGTGGAACTCCCTATGGGGCCATGAAGCGTGTGAGGGGTGGGCCGGAATGTGTGTGCGGGACGCATGCGGGCACACCCATTGGGACCTTCGGTGGAGCCTCTTTATGGGGCCGCGAAACGTGTGAGGGGGGTGCCGAAATGGGTGTGCGGGGCGCATGCGGGCACACCCATTGGGACCTTCGGTGGAGCTCCCTATGGGGCCACGAAACGTGTGAGGGTGTGCCGAAATGGGTGTGCGGGACGCATGCGGGCACACCCACTGGGACCTTCGGTGGAGCTCCCTATGGGGCCACGAAGCGTGTGAGGGGTGGCCGAAATTTGTGTGCGGGACGCATGCGGGCACACCCACTGGGACCTTCGGTGGAGCTCCCTATGGGGCCACGAAACGTGTGAGGGATGTGCCGACATGGGTGTGCGGGACGCATGCGGGCACACCCACTGGGACCTTCGGTGGAGCCCTATTATGGGGCCACGAAACGTGTGAGGGGTGTGCCGAAATGGGTGTGCGGGACGCATGCGGGCACACCCACTGAGATCTTCGGTGGAGCTCCCTGTGGGGCCAGGAAACGTGTGAGGGGTGTGCCGAAATGGGTGATGACGATGATGATGGTGGGAGGAGGAGGAGGAGGAGGAGAAGGAGGAGGAGGAGGAGGAGGAGGAGGAGGAGGAGAGGAGGAGGAGAGGAAAAGGAGAGGAGAGGAGTAGGAGAGGAGACGCGGGCCACCGTCTCTTGAAAACGAGGACCCAACACCGCAGGATGGTTGGGAACAGCTAATTACAATAATAACATTCATGAGAATAATAGTAAGGTTGATAATGGTAATGATCACGATGAAAATCATAATATTTGTAATGATAGCCGTACTACTAACCATGATAACAATAAGAATAATGCATAATAAGGCGGAGGGAAGGAGGAGGAGGAGGAGGTGGAGGGAAAGAGGAGGAGGCAGGGGGAGAGGAGGATGACCAGGGCTAGGCCAAGTCGTGCAACCGATGACTGGAGCACGGGCCCAGCATGCATAATATCAGTCCGGACTGAAGGCTTTGCCCGACTTGGGATGGCGACCAGCCCGCACAGCAGCTAGAGCATATGTCTGCCTATATCGGGTTGACCCGTGCTCCGAGGGTCCACGACAATTTTCTTGGAACTTCTGGTGAGCCACCTTGCTAGTGGACACCTCATAAGAGCCAAATATCGTACAAACCATTGTCAGAGGGCTCACCATGACCTGGTGCCATTTGAGCTCGACGATCTCTTCAGAGACGGCCACGGACTCCTAGGGCCCCTTTCTCGCCTGAGCGCCAGCCTGCAAATTGCACAGCAGTCTGCACAGCAGGAGACCTCATGGGAGGGGCCTGCTGGAGCACCAAGTCGGCCCGAGCCTTGAACCTCTCTTGGGCCGTCGGCTCACATGGGGTCCCTACAAGCTTCCCAAGACTGGCCTGCGCACAGCCGACCGCAAGGCGCAACTTACATTTGAAAACATACTGTGAGCCACAAGAAGTAGCTGGGGCACCTTACCCTCAGAATTCTTCAGAAGACGTTCAGGACGACCACTGCCCGCATCTGGAGCAGCCATCTTGGCCGCAGCCCGCGCACATTACTTAGCCTGCATACAAGCATCCGACAAGCCTTCGAACCTCTTGACAATAAACGCTGGAAGTGCATGTATAGTCGCTCCTTTCTTGTCGAAGTAATCCGCCCCCAGATTTCCGAACGCAAGCTTCCACGGCAACTTCTTGGCAGCACTTTGTCCAGATATTGCGCTGCTGGGAGATGTGACGCACACCATAAGAAGTGCGGTCGACCTTCTCCATCAGGAAACCTTGCCAAGATGGAGCGCCAGATGTCGGCATAGGTCGCCTGCGCGTCGGCCTGCTGGCGAGACCTGCTCTCACCCTCCTGGACTAGTCCCAGCAGATCAGAACGACAAGGTAGATGCAGTGGAGGTGTTGGACAGCTTGTAGGACAGCACACCGCTGCGTCCTGCCCACAGTCTGGATAGGCCCCAGTCGGGGCCCATACAAAGCACGAGCTGGCATGCAATTGCCCCCCCAACAGGATGACCGACCATCCACATCTTCTGAGTTCTGGCCACCTGAGGGCCAGTCCAGAGCCATAAGTATAACATATAGTGCTCCAGGAACTTCTGTCAGACTCCCAATCACCCCAGAACTCATCTTGCCGATTATCTTTTACATAAGGAGCCACAGGGCGACTCAAGAACATTCCCGCGGAGATCCTGACGCAGTCCCAGCCCTGCTGCCCTGCACGAGGCAGGCCCTTGTCCCGAAGAGAAGAAGGCGCACAGTACAAGTCAGGATCCCACGCCAAGTCAGGATCGCCATGAACATCCGGCTGGCATCCAGGACACCCGCAGGGCTCGTGCCCCACGGCGGCTTCCGTGGCCGATCGCCAGCAGCACGTCGAGGAACCGTGGCAGCCTGCACGTGCAAGTCGGCACGCGACCGCAGCGCGCCTGACCATCAGGATCGAAGTGCCCCAGCGGACCTGGGATGCTTCACCACCGCCTGCCCTCCTCCAGCACAGTATAGCACAGTTCTGCGCATCCTGGTCCAGATGATCTCCCATCCCACATGTACATCCTTGTGGTGTGGTAGGATCTGAGCAGCCTGCCCGCGCTGGATACCCAGTCGTGCGAGCTCAGCAGTCGATCGCGGAGGCAGCCGTAAAAGATCAAGACAGTGACCCAAAGCGCTGATGAGAGCCGTATTGGAATACATGCACCAGCCAATCTTGGACAGAGACAACATGAGCATTGAGGTGGGACCTTTAGCAGCGGCCCAGCTGGGCCGATCCTTGATCACGTCATGAACCTTCTGCCAAGCCCTCGGGAGCCTTCAAAGACTGAGCCTTTGGTCCCAGATGAACGAAGCGCATGCCCTGAGGGGTGCCAAGGTAGCGGTGCAGATCGGGTCGTACATGGCGTCAGCCTGTGTGGCATGAGCCAGCGTCATAGACGAAGCGTTATTCGTGCGGCCTGCCAACATACGAGCCGTCTGCCTGAGTCTGGCCAGCTCCCAGTCACTGACACCTGCAACCGTAGCTCCATGAGAAGCTGCTGGCATCAATCCTGCGCGCCACAACACGGCGAATCCATTGCTGGCACCTCGTCGCAACATCTTGAGTCTGGGGGGCCTTTCCTCGCGCTGCTCCAGGCGTGCCTCAGCTTGTTCTCTCACGGGCCTAGGTCCACTCAACTCAGATCCCACATTTCTGAATCTGGACCTGGCCGTCAACTGGATCTTCTAAGCAAGCCTCCCGGAAAACCATACTTTGCAGAAGCAGCCGTGGCATTCCGCCCAGATTTCCTGAGCCCCAACCTAGCCGTGTCCTTGACGAAGCCCCTGGGCACCTTTGAAGAGCTCCACCGCTGAGTCCGTTGTGAGCCCCATCCACTGCAGGGTCGAATCATCAGCCAGAGCTCGGGGAACCACATGGGGGCAACTGCTCTGAACCCTATCTATGGCCCTGTACGCGAGGATGGCCTCCTCCTCTTCCTCGTCCTCCTCCTCCTCCTCCTCCTCGTCCTCCTCGTCCTCCTCATCCTCCTCATCCTCCTCGTCCTCCTCCTCCTTCTCCTCCACCTCCTCCTCCTCCTCCTCCTCCTTGTCCTCCTCCCCCAGGGGAGGGCAGTAGCATAGGCGCATCCCGCGAATCCCCTGGAACGCCGTGAGCGCCCTACTCCGGCACCCAAAGGCACGTATCACCTCTGGTTGAGTATATGAGCCGAGGAGCATCCACAAGAGCCTCGCGGAGAACTGCGTCTCGCAGGCCTCCCTGACGAACGCATCGAGCATCGCCGTCTCGGAGAATTTCCAAATCTTTCAGAATACCCTGACGGGGCATCCATCCAGACGATCTGCAATCTCAGCCTGAAGATTGCGTTCATCTGCAGAGAAGCTGGATGAATAACCTCTCCTATTTCCCCAAATGTGAGGACTGCCATTTGAATAAATCCATGCCCTCGAAATGGAACGCCTCTTAGGGCCCGGCCCTCTTGGGGCACTCTTGGGAGCCTTGGGGGCCATTTTGGAGGAGTTCGAGCATAGAAGGGAGGGTACTTGATCCCCCCGAGGAGGCCAACAGTTTTCCACAAACGTAGTAAAGTCAATCATGTGTTTTTTCGCCGAGGCCATGTTGGACGCCCCAACGACTCGCGAACCCTCCCGTCCAGGTCCAGGGGAAGGGGGCAGGGGGAGGGGTAAACCCCTCCCCGAATGGGAAGAAGGGGGTTGGAAGAGGAAACCCTCCAAACCACTCACGCCCTAAAGGGCTGGTGGGATTTGCTGGGTCGAGCTCCTCTTGATGTGGAAGGCTGAGCCGAGCCTCTCGAATCCGAGACGCGGTATCATCATTGACGTGCCCTCAGGGTGAGGAGGAGGGACATCAGCCTGAGTAAGAATGGCACGTCAGGGAGGTGGCGGAGTTGCATCTCCCTCGACAGAGATAGTTACGCGTCGTAAGATTGTCGTCGTCTTCATCACCTCCTGCATCGACTTCCTTCTTCTCGACCTCATTCTGCTTTTCGTCCTGCTGCTATTGCTGCTCAGCCTCATCCTTTTCCTCCTCCTCCTCCCCCTCCTCCGCCGCAGCAGCAGCAGTACCATTCTCCAATCCTTTTTCCTCCTCGTGCTGCTGCTGCTGCTCCTCCTCCTCCTTCCCCATGCTCTCCCATCCTCACTCCTCCCCCATCTTCCACTATCCTCGCTCCTATCACCCCCCCCTCATTCTCGCTCCTCTTCCTTCCTCATCCTCCACCATCCGTTCTCTCCCCCCCCTCTGCCACCCGCCCAGAGGCTTCTCGGGGACCTCCACTGGCCGTACGCGACCGACTTCGCCGAGTACGCGCGCAGCTTCTGGCCCTCGCCTGGCCTGGTGTGCCTACGGACGATGAAGAGCGGGGTCGCGATCGATATTTCCAAGTCTGCTCAGGCTCGCTGGCGGCGAGGGGAGGGAACGGTGAAACCAAAGAGCTCTCATGCTGTGATTACGTGGTGTTTTATTCTGTCTGGCTCTGGAACATGTTGCGACCCATGGCCTCTCAGACTGGGTCCCTCACGCTGAAGACACGGAACGTGTGGCGTATTCCATGGGCAGATGAGAGCGCGACGTTGTACGGTAGGTTTATGCGGCGATGGGCGCGCAGGCGATGCCAGCGAAGGCGTTCAAAGTTGAACTCTGCATGATAGAACGACGCGAAAACACCGAGGGACACGGTAGCGCCACACGACCCGAAGCAATTCGACCCTGAACGCTCGGGGCCGCGATCGATTCAAAGTTGAACGATCGACGCGGTGTCAAAAACCTCTGCGCGCGCCGACGCCGCACGAACCTACTGTACGAGACGCGGTGGGGGGCGCACCACGGCGGCCGCGCGGTGGCGATGGCGCGGCCGCCGGGCCCGAAGGGCCGGAGGAGGAGGAGGAGGAGGAGGAGGAGGAGGAGGAGGAGGAGGGAGGAGGAGTAGGGAGGAGGAGGAGGAGGAGGAGGAGGAAGAGGAGGAGGAGCAGGAGGAGGAGGAGGAGGAGGTGCCCACGCCGCGTTGCCACTTCTGATTCGGAGGTCTACCCAGACCCCCTCGCGAGGTTAAAAGAATCACGACGGGAGGTTTTTCGCCAGTTTCGGCCTCCGGGGGCCCTGACCGGGCCGCGGGACCGTCAAAAAACGACTCGGGGTGAGAAACCGGTCCCGCGGAATGGGTCCAGACCTCTGGGGGTCGACGTCGTCTGGGTAGAGGTTGACACCAACACCAACATCAGCGGTGTGTCTCCACCGAGGGAGGATGATCCCGATCTGTGTGATGGTGGTCATATTCGGGTTTCCTAGGTGGCCGAAAGATTCGCCACCAGAACCAACATTCAGGATCATTTTCCCCCGGTGGCGAGAACCCCATGCGTTGGTGCTGGTGCTGATTTCCAGGCCCCCAAATTTCAGCGTGTCCAACTTGACGGAAGGCGCCGGTCCAGAGAAGCCCCGCTGCATGGCCACAAGGGCCGCAGGGAAAATCGGGAGAGGGCCACTGGTTTAGCCCTCCCCTCTCATGGTTGTCGAAAGCTCTGCTGGCCAAAGCCCATGGGCAAGTTCACACTGCCTGTGTATGATGAGCATGAACTGGTACCACTGCCAGCCAGCAGAGACTCCTACCACTGGGAAAGTTCGAGCTCAAGGGTCGCCTCGTCCCCCCACGGCGGCTGTAAATGATGGGAGGTGCTAAGTTTTCAATGCAACCGTTGACGGGCTAACGGCGGTGTAGGGGACGGCGAGTTTTCGGTACTGTGGGAACGCGTGGCTCGCGCACGAGCCAATAGCATTACAGTCAACCCGCATGGTAAGGATGGGCAACTTTCCGAGGTGACCCTTGCATCCTTCCCCTTCGGCCCATCCTTGGCCGTTTTCGCTGGCCGCGCCCCGCTCGCAACGTGTCGACATGGCCTTCCAAGGCCTCTGCATCCTTATCGTGCGTCCTTATGACATGGGTTGACTGTAAGTCTTGAGCTGCCTGTGCAACGTGCGTCGCTTTTCTCGTCGCCGTAAGAGTTTCCACACTGCAGCTAGCTCTGGTCCAATTCGACATGCTTCTGGAATCGAGCGTCGGCCGCTTGAGCCAGGAGGGGGGAGGGAGGAGGGAGGAGGGAGGAGGGAGGAGGGGGGAGGGAGGAGGGAGGAACGAGGAGGGAGGAGGGAGAGGAGGAGGAGGAGGGAGAGGAGGAGGAGGAGGAGGAGGAGGAGGAGGAGGAAGAAGAGGAGGGCGGTCGAAGACGATCAACCTGCATACACATCAGCTTTTGGATCTCCGCGTGGAGCTCCAGCAGTTTCTGGTTATGCCGCCTGTTGTTCCTCTAGGCGGGGAGTTCGATGCATCGATGATGCATCGTCGATGCACCGTTGATACCAGGGCGACGTATCGACGATCTACAGACGAAGTATGGCATCGACAATGCATCGACGATGCATGGGCAATGCATAGGCCATTCGGGGTCAAGGGTACCCCTTGCAGCCTTGCATCTTCGGCCCACCCTTAACCGCTTTCGATGGCCAGCCCCGCGCGAAGAGTCTCGCCATGGATGTACAGGCGGCCCGGATTAGTAGGTCGACCCTGCCAGATCAAGGGTACCCTCGTGCCCTGTGTTTTGCGACCCGTGCCTCCTGCATTTCTGTGGCAGCGTGGCCCTCGGAAGGGTCTTTGTGTCCTCTCGCGTGTTCTCTCCAGTCGAGTCCGACTGCACAAAGCGGGCCCGCACCTTTGCCGCGCATCCTCACTACCAGTTCCCGCTCCGCCTCGTCGACCCCTCGGCCAGGCGCAGAGGGGGGCAGCGGAAGGGGGGGAGGCTTCTTAGAAAGACCCCTGCTTCTAAAACATAATTAAAGTGAGAAGTACATACATACATATATATATATATACATATATATATATATATATATATATATATATATATATATCACGCGGGAGCAGGCCCGGGGCCCGAAAACAGCTGCCTCGACCCTCCATGGGGGTACCGGGGCTCATTTTCCCTGTGTTTTTACAGGGTTTCCGCGTCCTGGGCCTCGGAGGCCACCGCCTCCGACCCCCCCATGGGAGGACGGGGCGGCCGGGGAGGTCCAAAATAGTCCAGGAGGGCCTCCAGAGGCTCCCAAGACGGCCCAAGCGGGCCCTGAGTCGCCGAAAGACCGCTCCAGGACGCCCAAGATAGGCCCAAGACGGCCCGAGAGGCCCCCCAAGGCACTCCACGACGCTTCAAGACGCCTCTCCAGAGCGCCTCAAGACGCCGAAATCGTCAATTTTAAGAAGGTTTTCGAACGATTTTGGCCTTCAGCTTTTTCGGCTGTCCGACGTTCCAAGACGGCTCAATAGGCCCCCAAGAGCGCCCCAAGACGGCCCAAGAGGGCCACAAGACGGCCCCAGAGTCGCCCAAGACACCCCACCAGAGCCCCAAGACGGCCCCAAGATGCGGCCAAGAGGGGGACCACGATTCCAAAATTCGACCCTCCTGCTTGAAGAGTGCCCTAGGAGGACCCAAGGAGCCCCCAGGAGGCCCCAGATGCCCCCAAGAGGCACCCAGGAGGCCCAAACGACGCCTAAAGAGGCCACAAAACAGCCCCGAGGAGGCCCCACAACGGTCCTAAAACGGCTACCGAGAAGCTGCGAAACTGCTTTCACGACGTCCCCGACAGGCAAACCACGAGATCCAAACCAACCCCCATGAGGCCTCTGACCCACCACCCAGGGCACGGTGGCGGGAGCAGTGACAGCACTTGTGCACAGCATGTTCCGGCGGGAGCCTTCCAGAACACGCTGCAGGAGGAGGAGGAAGATCAGGAGGAGAGAGAGCTGGTGTGGGAGGAGGAGGAGGAGGGGGACAAGGAGGAGGAAGAGGCCTCCAAGACAGCTCCAAGATAGCCGAAGATACTTCCAAGAGGGCCCTGGGCGGCCCACGGGGGCCCCAAGGGGGTGCCTGAGGCGCCCAAGACGGCCCGAGAGGGTCCCAAGACGGCTCCAAGAGAGGCCCAAGAAGGGAAACACGAACCGAGAATCCGAGCTTTCTACCCCGAGAGGTTCTCGGGAAGTCCCAAGCGACCCCCAATCGGATCTAAGAGGCCCCCAAGAAGCTCCCAAGAGGGCCGACGAGGTTCCAAGAGATCTCCCAAGGTGGCCCCAAGAGGCACATTTTACGATTGGGCTTTGACGGGTTTTAATTTTTTGTTCGGCCTTTTGGCATCCCGATGCTCCAAGACGGCCCAAGAGGCTTCCAATACCGCTCCAATATAGAGGAAGAGGTCTCCAACAGGGCCCCAAGACGGCCCGCGAGGGCCCCAAGACGGTGCTTGAGGCGCCCAAGACGGCCCGAGAGGGCCCCAAGAGCCCCAAGAGAGGCCCGAAAAGGGGAACCCGACCCAACAGCAGAGCGTTCCCCCGAAAAGGCCCACAGGAGGCCGCAAGAGGCCCCCAAGTGGTCCGACGAACTTGGTTTGCAAACCCCATTCGGCGGCGATTGCGACGAGTTCTCGGCGCTAGCTGGTGCATCTCTGCGGGCGCGACAGCCCGCGCACGCGCGCGCGGCGGCCAGCTAGTTCGGCGCCGCCGACGCGACCGCGGTGGCGCTGACCGCTGGGCATATCCCAGCGGGCCTTCAGTGCGAGTCGGCGACTTGGCAGGGCGCGGCATCATGGCAATGCCGATGATAGTAGACACGGTGATGATAGTGGCGATGCCGGCGACGTTGCTGACAGCGACGACGGCGCGCGCGTGTTTTTTCCATCATTTCTGTTGCAAGTGATTCTTGAAAACTTGTGATTTTTGTTATACGCGAGCGCGCGCATGATAGTTGTTTTGCAGGGGGTGGCGGGGGGGGGTCGATACGGGCCCACTTGGAATGGCACGAATTCATATTTAGGATGGGCGATGGGGCAGCAGTTTGTATAAATTGCAATGCGGAAGGGGGCGCCGATAATCCCGGGGGTGGGGTAGAATTCTTCTTATCAGTGAGACTTCACCTGCCGAACTTGAAATTGTCAGCACCATTGCTCTTGCAAACATCCCACCCACCCACCCGCAACTCGGTCCATACAACCCATGCGATGGCGATTGCGATGCGTGCTTGGCGTTGGCTGGTGCATCTCTGCGGCCGCGCTAGCCCGCGCATGCTCGCGCGCACAGCGGCCAGCTAGTTTGGCGCGACCGACGCGAACGCGTTGGCGCTGACCGCTCGGCACATCCCAGCGGGCCTTCAGAGCGAGTCGTAAACTTGGGCGGGCGCGGTACCGCGGCAACGTCGACAACGGTAGACACGATGATGATCGTGGCGACGCTGGTGACGATGCTGACTACGACGACGGGGCAGCCAGTGACGGTGTCTTCGCGTCGGTGATGACGGTTTTGAAAGGAGTTCGAAATGCGCGCGCGGCGCGCGCGAGAGTGGCCGCATGGTATTACT